TCTAAATTCGATATTTTTGAAAGTAATTATAAAATATCAAAATATTTAACTTTTTTTTTTCGTTTTCTTATTCTTTACACCTCTTTCTATCCGATAATTGAATTTCACGATTATCAATTTCATCTCGTAATCAGTATTGGAAATCTTATGTTCAACAGTTTGTTTAAACCAGTGCTCTCTATGTGAAAACATTAATTTGGTCAAACTTGATACAATAATTTTTTATGAGAGCACTTTTTAGAATTTGAGAACATTACTTTTTAAAAATAGTTCTCATGAAAGCATTAAAATAATTTCAGATTTCCAAACTGCTCGCAATGCTTTCCAAATATCTTGACAGTAAATCTGTTAATAGACGATGTAAAATTTATTACATGTAAAGGTTTTAATTCTGTACAATATTAGATTTTACAAGATCCAACAAATTCAATAATTGTGAATGCTTATTCACGATCTAGGAGTGGCATCCTAGTACAGTAATTGTATATATAAAAACTTTATTATGGAATTATTCTAGATTTAATAAATTTAATTTGCAATGCGATACATTATGAATAAACTTTTATATTAAAGCGACTTAAATTTTACAAAACAATGCTCTTGATCAAATAATAGAATATATTTATTTTATTGTAATTTTCGAATTCTTTAATAACTCGGGTACATTTTAGAATATTATCATATTACAACCTATATTTATTTGAAATTTATTTAAGCTTATTCTAAATCTACAATATATTCCAATATTAATTAATTTTGAATAGTGATAAAATGAATTGTTAGTATTTCGAGGAATCTGGCTTTTGATCACTCATGAGACCAAATATTATAATGACAAAACCAGTTAGGTTTGTATAACAAGCCCCTTATAAAAATTACTTAATTGGGATTCAAAATGCAAATTCTGAGGGATTATTCAAAAAAATAATATTCAACTTATAAAAGTAAATTTGAACGAGTGCTATTTGAATCAACTTTTTATTCGTACGCTCCCATGATGACTTGTCGTGTAACTCTTCTGTACGTTTATGTCATATTACAATAATTATTATATTGTTTTAAAGTTTATCAATTAAACTCGGTATTTTGTTAATGAAGCGTGAGAAAATTTGTCATGCAAATCTGTACACTTAATTCGCGATTACAAAAATATGTCATTCCATATATAAAATAAGAACATGCATTATTGACACGGGGCCTGACATTTAATATATATACGTCTTTTATTAATGTCAGCTAATACTATCGCTATTCTCCATAAAATGATTGTAAAGACAAAATCTTCTTATTTTCTTTCCATCTTTCGTTCTCAAAGCTATTCCCGTTATACTAAGTATCATATTTTAGATCATGTTCGTTGTTTACAATCAATTGCGCTGCGACGTGAAGATAAAAGTCGTTGGGAACGTCGTGTAGCATTGACGCCGGACTCGGTTGCTAGTTTAATAAAAGAGACAGATGTGAAAATATACGTTCAACCATGTAACAAACGAATATTTAACGATGATAAATTTATAAATGTATGTATTTTATTATTATTATTATTATTATTATTATTATTTATTTATTTATTTATTTATTTTTTTAATTTCGATCAATTCTTCCGATTAATATGTATATTACATATTCTCTTTTTACTTTAGGCTGGAGCAATTGTTCAAGAAGATATTTCAAACGCTGATGTTATTTTGGGAATTAAAGAAGTTCCTAAAGAACATTTAATTCCGAATAAAACCTATATATTCTTTTCACATACGCACAAAGGACAGTTATATAACATGCCCATGTTACAGGATATACTTGATAAGGTGACAAATATTTTGAAGATATTAAATTATTAAATGTTTAATTATTCATATTGATATTAATAATTAATAACGTTTTTTGTTATATTAGAAAATTAGATTAATTGATTATGAATTAATGACCGACGCTCAAAAACGACGTTTGGTTTTATTTGGAACGCATGCCGGTTATGCTGGTAGGTATAAATTTACTAGTTATTTAACTTTAATATTCCTAACGAAATAGTTCTAAATACGATATATTGTAGGAATGATCGATGGACTTCACGGCTTGGGTCGAAGACTTCTGGGCTTAGGTTATAATACACCATTTGTGGTATATAATACATGTCAGAAGATAAAATGTTTATTCTGTTTATAAAATAACTTATATTGTGTATATTATTCGCAGCATGCCGCCATGTCTCATACATATAAATCTCTAGAATTGGCAAAATCTGCAGTTAATAATATAGGTGCCGCAATTGTCGATGAAGGCCTTCCGAAAGATTTTAGTCCTATGACTTTTGTTTTTACTGGAACTGGAAACGTTTCCAATGTAAATAAATATTTATTTTCATATTAGTTAACCTTTTTTGAAGCTTTGCTTTTAAGCTAACTTCCATTATAGGGTGTACAAGAAATATTCAAACTTCTGCCACACGAATACATTGAAGTAAAAGATTTGCAAGAGTGTGTCACAACACCTCGTATGTGTTTCACATAACATGGCGTGTAACATTTTCTGTTATTAATTTCGTTTAAACTTTAACGTTAATAGATAGATTTAGTAACCATAAAGTATATGGTTGTCAAGTG